CGGACCACACGTCCACCACAGGATTTGACCCCCTCTTTCTTGCAACGCTCTCCCAGCTCCCTCTCCTCTCCGGCCATGGTCTCACAGGTGCTGCCCTGGGACCCTCCTTGGCCCTCTGTTCTCTCCCTCCCCTCCTGGACCACCTCGCCCACACCTGTGGCTTGGCTTACTACAAGATGTTGATGATCCCTAAGTTACAACTCCAGCCCCAGCTTCTTTTGTTGATTTTTCAGTCCACGTAGCCAGCTTCTGCTGGACAGCTCCTCCTAGTTGTTTCAAAGATGCACAAACTCAAACACGATCGGAACGGAGCTCATGGCACAACCACTTAGGAGAATTAATCAGCACTACATTCTAAAGCTGAACATACACACACCCCGTGGCCCACAATCACAGCCTCAGACACCCAACAGCTGTGTGTGTATGTGTGCACCAATGCCATGTGCAAGGACGCTCCCAGCAACACTATTCATGATAGCCCCAAACAGAAAACTTCCCCAACGCCCATCGGCAGGAAAGCAGATAAATAAGTGGTGGCCTATTCACAGGATGGAATGCCCACATCCCGTGCTGAAAGGGGAGAGGACCTGCAAATCTCTCCAGCTAGTTCCACAGCTGGGTTGGGTGTATGCGGATTCACTGATTATGATTTCTGCACTTTTCTGTGCATATGTCATATTCAAATGAAAAGTTAAAAAAAAAAGATACATCTTCTTCCCCATCACACACCCCCACCCCTGTCCTAGTGTTCTCTCTCAGGCAGGTTCCCAACTTCCCACGCAGGTGCCCGAGTCAGAAGTTGGGGCTATTCCCAGCGGCTCCCCTCTCCATTACTAGACCTCCTTCCGTCTCTCAGACCCACCATTTCTCTCCACCTCCGCCGCCTCTTCCTCAACCCAGACCCATTTCCCCTCCTGCTTGGCCTTCTCTGTAGTAGCTTCTCAGCCTCCAGGCTTGTCCCCTCTGACTCACCCCCACACAGCAGGTAGGGGGACCCCTCGAGAGTGAAAAACCAGCCATGTCTCCCCCCTACCCCCCACCCCCCAGTTGAAGGCTTTCGGCTTTTCCCCACACCCTCCAGGTAAAGCCCATTCTCCTGCTGCTCGTGGGTCCCAGGTCCACTCTGACTTTACCCCCAGGTGCCCTTCCCCCGACACTCTGTCCCCGGCCGTCCCAGGAGCCTCTGCACAGGCTTTCCCTGTAGCTGGGAGCCCTCTCCTGCCCCTCCTCCCTGCTTTTCCTGACCATGCCCCCCAGATCTTCAGTGCCACCCCCCCCCACCGCCTGCATGAAGGGCTCACAGCGGTGGGTGTTTGCCCCCCCCCCCAGTACACATCCTACTGGGCCTCAGACTCCATGGAGGGGACATCATGTCTGTCTTGTTCATCACTCAGCCTCAGCAGCTGGCATAGCAGAGGCTCAAATACTCATTGAATTAGGGAGGTCCAGGCTGCAAAGTGCTGGAGGCCTGGGGGGTACCTTCTCCTACCAAAAGTCCTAGAATTCAAAATCAGAGAACATCAGAGCTTGAAGGGGCCTCCGAGGACACTTGTTGATTGACAAATGAGAAGCCTCAAGGAAGGAGCCCCTGGCTGGTCAAGGATGAAGGATGAGTGAGAGAAAGGAGAGGCAGAAGCTGCAGAGTAAGGCAAGGTATTGATTAAAGTGAATCTTGAGTGCTGCTAGGGCTCCTAAGAGACGTAAAGATAATATTCCTTCTGGGGAGGATGGCACAGCCCCTGCGTGGGGTCCCCTGCCCAGGTCTACCCAGTGGAGCTGGACTCCGGCCTCCTTACAATGACCACTAGATGGCGCCAGACCCCCAGGAAAGAGAGGGCAAGGCTGTCCTGTTCACCCTCTTCTTCCATCCATGTCCTGACTTTCTCCCTAGACCTGGCATTCTGTGAACCCAGTTACCGCAGCCGTGCCCGGGTGGCATGATACTTGGACTCCAGGAAACAGCTCGCTTCAACAATGTACCTTTTCTCATGCCTGGTAGAGAGTGGGCAATGGACCCTTACCTGGGCATTGACGGACACTGCCCCTACTCCCTCCTGCCCTCCTCCCAGAGGCCCTTGCAGACTGCCCTGCATCACCCTGCCACCGGGGGCAGGACTCTGATCAGGCCCACACCTGCTCATCTTGTTGGCCCAGACAAGGCGCGGTGGGTGGCACTGGTCCCACTGCATCCTCCAGCAACCTCAGCCACCCTGAGCTGGCAGGTGCTCACCCAGCTGCTGGTGCTCCAGTACTGAGGCCTGACAGGCCCCTTTCAGGCCATGGTGGCCTCCTCTGGGAATCTGCTCCTGCTCGTACCCAGAGCGGGGCCGCTGGAGAGCAGTGCCTGCACCATGCCTCCCCTTTTGCTGACCCTGCAAAGCCGACCCAGCTGAGATGATTCAGCTGCTCTCCAGCATCAGGGAGTCTCACTTATTCATTCATCAAACACCAGTTAGCACTGAGGTGGTGTGTGCCAGGACCTGCCCTCGTATCTGGATGGTAGCAGTGAACTGGAAGGATACAGCCCCTGGTGTAGTAGAGCACACAGTGCCACCAGGAACCCGACGTTAACCTCCCATCACGACAACACGACCTGCTCACTTAAGTCACTAATGCTGTGTTTTTTTGTCCGTTTCTAGAACTCAGCCTTTCAGAGCAAAATGGAGCAAAGAAATTATTCTAATGTAACCCACCACCAACGTGATGATTTTTTCATGATTCCTGGACTCCCAGTCCAGTGCTCATTCATTCACTTGGCTCGAGAGCCACCGGGATGGGTGGGAATGAGGAGGGAGAAGTGAGGGGTGGGTGAGGACCTCAGGAGTAGACCCCGTGCCATCTCTGAATCCCCCGGCCCCCTTTGAGAAGGCTGCTGAGAGAAAGAATGAATGAGCGCCTGAGAAGGGCCTTGTCCGACGCTGCCCCTTCTCTGTGGGGTGCTCGGGCTCCAAAACAGGCCCTACCCGCCTCCCCTGCTCCCATCCTGGGAGGGGAACCGGCCTGCCCAGTGCCCTTCCTGCCCCCGACGCCGCGGGCTCTGTTGGCGCCCTCTTGGCAACAGAACAGAGGGCATCCAGAGCGGGTGGCAACTCGCCCCGCCAAGGGCTCGGAGCGGCGGACGATAGGCGCTGGGGGGACGCGGAGATAGACAGACAGATAGCACTCCTTTCGCCTGGCCCCCGCCCCCACCTTTCCCATGCCGAGGCCTCCCCAGAGCCGCGAAGACCTGGCGGGCACTCCTGCCCCTCGGCACACAGACTGCGACCCTCAGTCTCCACCAACTGCAGCTCTCAAAGCCCTTGGAACCCCTGGCAGGCTGCCCCGGGAGTCTGACTTTGGAGAAGTGCGCAGAGCCCGCCTGACTGTCTACCAGGGAGACCCCCTCCCCCCGCCTTGGAGAAGTCTGGAAGACTGTCGAGCCCAGAAGTGACCACAAGGTGGCGCGCTGGCACTGTTTGTCCAGGGATGGGTCAAGCAGGGAAAAAGGGACACGGCAGCCTTGTGTGAAGGTTGCATGTGGCTAGGAATTGAGTTTTGGGGGAGCTCCTTCTCCTCCCAACGACAGAGGAGAAAAGAACTGGGAGTTGAATGGAGAAATGGGCTAGGTGTTGGGAACAACTCGGATGACCTAAACGCCTGGTCCTGTGGGCCAAACAAGATTAGGATCTTTGGGGAGAGTCCCCAGGGAGGGGAGCCTCTTCTTTAGGGCCTTTTGCGGGTGGGGACGGGGTTCAAAGAGCATCATGGTTTCCAGGCACTGGGGCTAGGGAAGGGGCTGAGAGTTTTATACACCTCTGCATACAACCGCACATTCACCACACACACACACACACCTTCCCAGGGCTTACACACCCCACACACGCATTCTCACACTTTCTCACACACATTCCTGCACTCGCATACACCTCCGAGTACTGCAGAACACAGGAAATCTCACGTCACATACCCCGAGTCCACCGGTCCCAGACACCTGAGGCCAGCACTGTCCCACATGCACAGGATCACCCCCAAATTCACTGAAACAAGCAGAAGCCAGCCTGTGCCCCACCCAACTTCACGTGGGCCCCAGGTCCCCTGCTCCTGGGTGACCTCTGAAACTGCACACACACAGTTTCAGAGACAGCTCTAATATCACTACAGACAGACTGGGCGCCCCCAACCTCCCCATAAGCCCCTACATCCACACACACCAACCCCCCTAGGTCCTCTCCAACGGCGCCCTCCGTGGCGGGATTATGACTTTTGTAAGCCCAAGGCACAATTGCCTGATGGATCCCTTCCTCCATTAAGAAAAAATGTTTTAAAATTACATTTTGTTACTGCACTGTTGTAAAGACAACACTTGAATAGCATATTAGTAGCATATATTCAAACATTTTCTTCAACCTAAATTTTCTTTTTTTCCTTTCCTTTGATTTTAAAAGAAATTAAAATATTTTCATGAGCCCTGGATCTTTCTCACTTGGGTAGGTTTGTGTGCCTGTCATTTGCACTGGGCGCGTGCACACACAGTTACACACACCCCTTGTAACCCCTCCCTCCACAAACACCCAATGGGCAAATTCCGCTCCTTCCTCCTTGCACCTGAGCCCACCTTCCATCCCCCCAGTCAGGCAGACAGACCGACTGACAGATCCTGGAAGCTCTATACGGTCACCTCCCCCACCTCCACTCCTTCCTTCAGAGACAGGGTTTATCGGGGCTGGGGGGGAAACACCAGAGAAGGAGCGAGAGGTGCGTGCGTGTGTGTGTGTGTGTGTGTGTGTGTGTGTGTGTGTGTGTGTGTGTGTGTGTGTGTGTGTGTGTGTGTGTGTGTGTTTTGGTTACAACAAAGAATGGAGGAGAGCGGAGAGCGAGCGAACGCAGGAGCGTGTTTTGCCTCGAAGGCAAGACTTGCAGCCAATCAGAGCGCTGGAGCCTCCCTCCGCGACTCCTCGGAGTCTATAACCGGCTGGCCGGGCGGAGCTGGCAGCATTTGACTGTGGCTTGGGACGCGACGAGAGGCGCGCAGCGACCGTCCGAAGGCCGGCGCTCGTGTAAGCGCCCCTCGGCCTCCCCTCCCCCGAAACGCTGCGGGACCCTCCTCCCGCCCTGCGGACACACACACACCCCGCGCTCGGCTCCTCCGCCTCTTCCGCGCTCCAGCCCGCGGCCGAGGCCAGCCCGGTGGTGGCGCGGCTCCCGCCAGGATGAGTGGCTCCTTCGATCGCAAGCTCAGCAGCATCCTCACCGATATCTCCAGCTCGCTTAGCTGCCATGCGGGCTCCAAGGACTCTCCCACGCTGCCCGAGTCTTCCGTCACTGACCTGGGCTACTACAGCGCCCCGCAGCACGACTACTACTCCGGCCAGCCCTACGGCCAGACCGTGAACCCCTACACCTACCACCACCAGTTCAATCTCAACGGGCTTGCAGGCACGGGCGCTTACTCGCCCAAGTCGGAGTATACCTATGGAACCTCCTACCGCCAGTACGGAACCTACCGCGAGCAGCCGCTGCCCGCCCAGGACCCAGGTGAGGACCGCGGGGTCGCGGGAGAGTGGGCGACTCGGGAAGGTTCTCCTGGGAGAGAAAGGCGGGGAATTGAAACAGAAATCTAGGGGAGCGTCGAGGAAAAAACACGTACTGTCTGGAGTTAGACAGAGAAGGTGGGCTACAGGGCCCCAGGCGGGTACAGACTACCTTTCGGCCCCTGAGACCACCACGCGCCGCGTTGCTCGCTGTGCGCTGCGGTCTCCGGCGAGGATCGGGGAGAGTTGGGGGCGGGGGGCACGCGAGGGCCGTGGATTGTCAGGGGGGCCTCCTCATTGAGGTGCTTTCGCGGAGAACCTCAGCAGGCGGCCCTCCATCTGGCTGCGGAGGGCTTGAGGGTGGGCATCAGGGACTGGAAACCCCAGCGGACCCTCTGGATTTGAGCTGGGGAGAGGGCGAATGGTGAGGGGGTCCTGGAGGCACCCCAGAATGACAGGGACACCGCGACTGAGAAGTGGAAGAGCCTCAAAAGAGAAAGGTGAAGACAAAGTGAGAGAAAGGACAGAAAAAAGGAAGGGTGAAAAGGACGGAAAAAAAAAAGAAGGAAGGGAAGGAGGAAGGAGTCTGTACTATGCTTGTAACTTAACGAAAATAGAAAATTATCCTAAAATAAAAAGTTTTTAAAAAAGAAGAAAGAGGGAACAGGAAAGAGGAAAGGAGTGACAGACAGCAAGACAGGGAGAGAAGGGCTCGGCCCGCGTAGGGGTCGCGAGCGGCTGCGAGCTGGGAGGCAAGCCGGGAAGGCGTCCTGAGCGAAGCCTCGGCCGGCCGGGCCCGGGCGGTGCTGGCGCCGGGGACTGCGCTCCGGGGCCGGGCGCGGAGCTGGGAGCTGGGAGCGCCGCGTCGTGGGCGGCCGCCCGTCGCTCTGCAGCCGCCGCTCCCTCCCGGGGCTCCGGCGGCGCCGGCGGCGGGGCGCGCAGCCGGGAAATCCCGGGGGAGTCAACGGGCAGGAGGGTGGGGCGTCCTGCAGGGCCCTGGAGGACGCCGGGGTCGCGGGCGAAGACTGAGGCGCCCCCCGCCGGGTGTGTTACTCGCAGTTTCGGTGAAGGAGGAGCCGGAAGCCGAGGTGCGGATGGTGAACGGGAAGCCCAAAAAGGTCCGAAAGCCGCGCACCATCTACTCCAGCTACCAGCTGGCCGCCCTGCAGCGTCGCTTCCAGAAGGCCCAGTACCTGGCACTGCCCGAGCGCGCCGAGCTGGCGGCGCAGCTGGGCCTCACGCAAACGCAGGTCAGTTCGGGGTGATCGAGATCGCGAGACTTCTGGGGGGCCGCGCGGGACCCCGGGACTCCCCAGGCACTATCCAGCCTGAATGGCCTTTTAAATCCCCAGTAGGCCCTTGAAACCCTTGCCTGTGGGTAGAGGGACCCCCAAATCTCAACTTCTGTCGGAAGTTTCTGCACTAGCACATGTACAGGCATGCATATTTGTGAACCTGTGCAACCGCGTATGTCTGTCAGCAGGAGAGGTGTCCTCCTCCCTCTAGCCCCAAACCCCAGTCCCCACAGTGCTGGTCACCCACTTGAAAGGAGTCCACACATGTGGCTTCCCCTCAGGCTAGGCATGCATGGGTAGAGGTGGACATACACGTTCGTACACATGTGCCATATTGCACACATGCGAATGTATCTGTGTACACGTGAGAATGTTCCCATGAGTGTGACCTTTCAAGGGTCACTGTGTTTGTGGATAGAGGGGCACATGGGCATGACTGCACACTGGGGAACTTGGTGAGTTCGTGTTCAAAAGTGTGTTCTTGCTTCAAAATGCTGCATCGCTCGCTGCTCAGCCACCAAATGCTCCACCCCTTCCCCTGCCCTGAGCGGACTGGAGAGCTTCCCACCCAAGGCGGGCAGGGACTCACCTCAGCCTGTCCCTAAAGCCCCCAGCAGCCTGTCGCTGCTCAGGGGAGGAGTGGCGGCTGCCTGGCTCCCTGCAGGTGTTGACAGGCGGGCCTGGGTTGCGGCTGCGTGCGTGGGGCCAGGTCCGCCGGGAATCTGGGTCACCCGGTGAGAAGCTGATTCATTGTTTGTACCAGTCATGGGGTGGGGAGCAGCAGGGGGAGGAGGAGGTACCCCAGGGAAACTTTGGGAAATCGAGGCTCACCTGCTCCTGAGACCCCAGGTCACCTCAGTTAGACAGCCCTGGAGGTCCCTCCATGCCTGGGTGTGTGAGCATGGGTGCTCACGCTTGTGGGTGTTTATCTGGGAGTAGTGCCTGCGTGTGTGTATCTATAGCCTGGTGCATGTGTGTGAAGCAGTGAGTGGGTAAGTTCTGCACACGGAGATGCTTGTGTGGGTGTGTGTTTATCTGTGTATCTATGTGCCTCTGAGTTTCTAATGTGAACAAAAGGCCACAAACTGCCCATCGCCCACCTGGGCTGCCTTTTATTGGGTGCTTACTACATACCAGGCTGCTCTGGGTTTTTATCTGTCTTAACGTTTTTTTGAGCGGCATAATGACCCCATAAGGTAAGTAATAGTGCTGCAACCATCCCATTTTGCAGGTGAGGAAGGAAAGAACCAGAGAGATTGAGTAACTTGCCCAAGTCGCACACTTAGTGACCAGCAGAGTGGAGTGTGGGCCCAGGCAGTTGAAAGTTACTTGCCACAGTTCTATCCCAGAGAGAAGAAGGATGCTGGCCTGGGAGTCAGGATGCCGGGGTTTTGCCTGTGTCTTGACACGGGACATGGGGGCGCTGGCCTTGCCCTCTCTAGGCTGCATGCCCCACAGGGGTTTCACTCAGCATTCCCAGAGATTAACCAGCTCCCCCTTTCTCCTCGGGCGCAGGTGAAAATCTGGTTTCAGAACCGCCGCTCCAAGTTCAAGAAGCTCTACAAGAACGGGGAGGTGCCCCTGGAGCACAGTCCCAACAACAGCGATTCCATGGCCTGCAACTCACCGCCGTCGCCCGCCCTCTGGGACACCTCCTCCCACTCCACTCCGGCCCCTGCGCGCAGTCAGCTGCCCCCACCGCTCCCATACAGTGCCTCCCCCAGCTATCTGGACGACCCCACCAACTCCTGGTACCATGCACAGAACCTAAGTGGACCCCACTTACAGCAGCAGCCGCCTCAGCCGGCCACCCTGCACCATGCCTCCCCCGGGCCCCCGCCCAACCCCGGGGCTGTGTACTGAGCACCCACCTGGCCTGAACCTCCCACGAAGGATCCCCGGGGCCAGACAGAAGGCGTCTCTGTCCTAGCCAACACTCAGGAATCATCGAAGAGCACGGGGGAAAGGGAAGCCCCCTTTCCTCTTCCCATGTCCCTTCCTCCAGGGACCCAAGAGCTCCAGGTGAAATTTGCATGGACCAAGGATGTTCCCTGAACCCCTGTCCCGCTGCCTAGACGCTGGGGTACCCTTCCAGATGTTGGGGCACTCCACTCCAGCTGGGACAGCTGCTCCCCTTCTGTTCCAGAAGCCTGGATTGGCTTTGAATGGCTCATCACCTTCCAGCCTCTCACACTGAGTACTTGTTTCCCAGACTGGAGACCTGGGAGACCGGGGGCCAGTGGCGTGTTTGCAGGGCCGGCCTGGTCTGGACACCAGGCACTGTGGATGCAGAGACCTGCCGGCCTGGTTCCTCCGAAGCCACCTGTGGCTCCCCTCTTCCTGAGTACCCCTTCTGCCAAAAAGACGTTGGACATCGTGACTGGGACTCAGGGTGGGGACCTCGACCAGCCCCAGCCCTGCCCTTCCAGCCCTCATTTAAGATGTGAGGGTTGAACCAAAGAAAGTGGGGAAATCTTTTAATATGTGTGGCTTTAGAGGGAAGAACTCGAGGAGTCATCTCCATCCTCTCCCCGCTCCGGTCGGAGAGGAGGGGTCGGGTGGTCTCGGATGTCTTTCTTAAGGACCCATCTCTTCTTCCGTGTACAGGACTTTGCACAACTTTGGTTTTGAAAGCTGTTGAAAACTAGGAAAACAAAGGGCATTGTTAACAGATAGGATCAATCTCCCCTACGTGGGCACCTCTGCTCTGCCCCGCCCCCACCCCAGCTCTCCCTCTCCTCCAGTAAGCTGGCAGTTCCGGCACCAAACCCCAAAGCTCCAAGAAGACATACCAGGCAAAACAAGCCCCAAAACACCCCCTTTTCCAGTGGCCTCAAAAACCGATTGGAAAACACCCCCTCAACCGATTGCCTCGGAAACCCATGAGGTGCACCAGGCGGGAGGGGAGGGTAGTGGCTCCGTGCCTTCAGGGGGATGTCTAGCCACCCCCTCAGAGCTAACCCCTCCGCCCCGATGTGGGCAAACATTGAAGAGAAGGAGAGGTGGAAGACTGTAGCGCTATATATATGACTATATATATATATATATATATATGGTCTGTATTTTTTTTAAGAGCAGCAGAAAGAAGCAGCCTCCTCCCTGTGTGGTTTCCTATTTACGTGGCCCTTTCCTCGTGGATGTGCCCAGATGCGCGCTGCGAGCGGAGAGAACCGGGGGCGTGGGCTCCGGCTGGACTGGGGTTCGGTGGGAGGTGCAGAAGTGGGAAGAGGCGCGGTGGGTCTCCAGGAGTCCCGACCAGGGGGACAGGAACTGAGCCAGCTCCCCACCCCCTCCCAGCCTTCTCATTTCCGCTTTCCTACTGGACCCATCTTTATATATAATGTTAATAAAAAAATGAAGAAAATAACTCCTGAGCTCTTTGAACCGGAGGCTGGAGGCGGACGGGGCTCTCTCGGAGGAGGCCCGGCGGGCGGCTGGGGCAGGTGTGGGGTGGGGAGAGAGCTCTGGGCCTCCCAGGGCCCTGCTGGAGCTCTGGAGTCAAGCGCTGGGCTGGGCCCGGCCCCAGGTGGCAGGTGCTCGTGACCCCGTGGCTGCCCCCAACGTGGGCAGGTCTGGCGGGTGGTGGCCTCTGGCCCTGACTCCACTCTGCGTGGTGGCTTGGCGTTGCCTGCCAGCCAGATGCCCTCCGCCACTGCTGCCGCTGGGTCACCTCAGGGCTGCTCTTTGATCTTGGGCTCACACGCAGACATGCTTACACACGCGTGTACACCCCCTGCCTCCACGCCCAGGCACTCCCCCCCTTCTCCCTCCTGTCTATCCTTTCCAGCTTGGGGTGAGGTGGAGGCCTCAGGCGAGGGGAATGCCTCTGCTCCAACAGCTAGCAGGGCCCCTGAGCCAGTGGGACCTAGGCTGGATGACAGAATCACACAGAGCCGGGGCTCTGGGGTGCTTCTCAGGGGGAGCTCGGCCCTGACTGAGAGCCTTCTTGTTGCCGCCACTCCCCTCTTCTAGCTGCCCAATCCCACGACTTTGGAGACGGAGTTGCAGGTGGTCAGATGAATGCAGGTGTGTGTGAGCGACACGTCTTAGTGCAGGTGGGAGGCAATGTGAATGCATGCACACGCTTGTGAAGCTACCTCTCTCTTACACACACACATGTACCCAGACACACGGTGACATGTCCGTGTCATCCCACATACATGCACCCGCACTTGAGGTGAAGGTGTCCTCTGCAGGCATCATACGCAGCCACAGACACACACCTGAGACCCCTTTGCATCACACACGAGTACAAAGCCAAAGCCACAGCACTCCAAGAGGCACAGTCACTCATTGCCCAAGTTGCCCCCATCCCGCACACACGCAGGGTGGCTGAGGCTGCTCCTTACACTGGAAAAAGTCTTGGGTGGAGAATCAGCAACACCACCTGGCAGCCAAGGTGGCCCAGAGCAGCCTGTGAGGCCCTCAGTTTCCTCATCTGTCAAGTGGGGACAATGGTCCCCACCCTGCTGTCTTCCGGGGCTGCTGTGGGGCAGAAAGCAGAGTAAGCCTGAAAAGGCAGAAGGAGCTGCTCTCACCCAAGGTCCTCGTTAGCCAGCAGTCTCAGACACGCAGCTGAGGGGCTCTCGGGCAGGGGCTCAGGATCAGTGGGGACCCTCCCCCTCCCACTTCACCCTTCTTCCTCTCAGAAAGCAGGCCTGCCCCTCCCCACATGCCCGAGGGAGACGGAAGGGAGGACGCCAGCCGGGTTGGCAAGGGTTAAGTGGCAGCTGCCAGGCGGGGCCGAGCCGAGCAGTTTGGTTTGAGGGCTGCGTGCAGGCAGGAGCAGCGAGGCGGCAGCCGGGCAGACTTGCTGGAGACACTGCATTTTATTAGGGCTGGGCTGCCAGCAAAGGGAGGGAGAGGGGAAAAAAAAGGGCAGAAAGAGAGAGGAAGGAAGGAGGGAGGCCAGGCGGGCAGGCTGGCGGGCGGCTGCTCTGGGATGAAAGGGTGTTGTAAGCTCCCTAATTCCACCCTGCTCATCCCTGCTCCGTCAGGCTGGATTAACTGCCCGGGTGACCTCCCTCGGGGTCAGCCCCACCCCTGACCTCTCCTTCCTCCTCTCCTCACCTCCAGGCTGGTCAGGTCACCCTCTTCACCGGTGTCGGTGAGACACAAGCACGGGGGCTTGGGTGGGGGACCTGGGCCCACCTCTGCCAGGTGCTCCTTGACAGCCCCTAGCATCACCTTGTGGAGACCTTCGGGGGACCGTGGGGTGGGAGAACCCCAGTCCACCCCGAGGGTCACTGTTCTCCAGCCCTTAGTAACAGCTGGCATTTGCTAAACTCCTACTCTGTGCCAGGCACTTTGCATGTGCCCCCCACAACGACCTGGGACACCTGAAGTGAGCGGTATGGTGCCTATTTTTCAGATCAGGAAACTGAGGCTCAGAGACTCAATCAAGGTCATATAACTAATACATTGAGATTTGAACCTAGGTCTGTCTGAAAAATGGATTCTCTTAATGGGCTTTAATTTTTTTTTAATTTATTGATTTGAGAGAGAGAGGGAGAGAAGCATCAACCTGTCGTTCCACTTATTTATGCGTTCCTTGATTGCTTCTTGTGTGTGCTCTGATAGGAGAATGAACCCACTACCTTGGCGTATCAGGAGGATGCTCTAACCGACTGAGCTACCCAGCCAAAGCTTCTTAATGGACTTTTCTGCTACTAGGTTTACTAAGATACGCCCCAGGGCAGAGAGTCGGGGAGCTGGAGCCACCGAAGCTCCGCCCACCCCAGCCGCCAGGCCTCCTCCCAGGGAAGAACCCTGGGAGCAGTGGAGGGGGAGGGGCTGGGCTTTCTTCCCCTGGGTTGGTCCTAGGAAAGCTTAACGCGGTGGTCAGGAATGTGCACGCTGCAGTCAGCTGACCCAGACCGAAGCCTGCCTTCACCACCGCAGTGACTGTGTGATCTCGGGCAAGTCACTTAACTTTTCTAAGCCTCAGTTTCCTCGTCTGTAACGCAGGGATAATGCTACCTACCTAGCAGGGCTGTTGAGAGGATTAAATAGGATAATGTGAGTAAAATGCTTAACAAAATGCCCAGCACACGGTGAGTACAGCTCACCTAATGAAAGTTGCTGTTGACAGTGGTGGCAAGGGAGATGGAGCTCACTGCCCACCTCACCTCCTGCCTTCACCTCCTGCCCCACCCTCCCCTCCCATACCCCCTGATTCAGACCCAGGGCCCTGGCTGCACTTGCCACCTTGGTCGATCCACCCATCTCTAGGAAAACTCCAAGAAAGAGTAAGTCAAAGATCAATGAATATTTACTGAGCACTTGCTGTATGCCAGGCAGTTCTAGGGGCTGGAACCACAGACGACTGACGGCTGGGGAAAAAAGGCACAGGCCTGTCCTAGGTGCTCCAGGGCCAGAGGCAGGCACCCTGGGCCACCCTGGAGAGACTCCCCATTGGGCAAACTCAGCACAGTCAGGGAGGGCAGGACGGGGGCAGTGGGTGGCAGGAAGGAAACCGGGACAGCCTTTATGGAAAATGAGGTGTTTGAATTATGCCCTGAAAGAAGACGGCAGCCATGACAGGCGGAGCTGGAGGTCTGGGAACATAATTCCTGGGGGCCCTACATATGGAATAACACCCCTTCCAGGAATCAGGGGGTAGGAAGGCAGGAAGCTGGGGCAGAGCCGGAGAGCTCAGCCTCGTGGACCCGCATGGAGGAAGGCATGGATCCGGAGCGTCCCTGAATCCTTCCCTGAGTGCTGGGCTCAGAGTACCCGCATCGTTTGCCCCATTTCTGGGAGGAGACAGCCCCTGCCCCTCTCCCTTGAGGAAGTGGAGGCGAAGGGTGATCTCTGTGTCAGTCTCTGAGGCCCCCCTCCCCGCCGGCTTTAAGGCACCGGGAGATCTTAGAGACCTCACCCCAGTTCAGCCTCCATAAACCATCTGCCTCAGCAGCGCACCATCACCACCACTTACTCCCTAGTCCAGCAGAGCCCGCAGACCTTCCCCGGGAAGGGGTTTCCCCGCAGCTGAGACGGACCGCTGAGGCCCAGCCCCCCAGCCCCCCAGGTGAGGGCTCTGGTTGGCTAAGTCAGGCTGAGCTGCACCAACCAATCCTTGAGGAGATGAAAGAGGAGGGGAGGGGGAGGAGGGGAGGTCATAGGGGGAGGAGAGGGGAAAGCCTTCACCCAGCACCCTGGCCTCTGTTTTTCCAGCTTTAATTGCAGTGTTAATCAACTTAATAAGCTGTTTACCAACCACGGGGCAGCCTGAGACTGGGAGACTGAGGAGCCAAAATGTGCTAAGAGATGAGTTTCCTGGCAGCCCCAGGAAGGGGCTGGAGGACAGCGCTGGTGGGGGCTCAGGTTGGGGGGCTTGGGGCAGAGGGTGAGGGGGGAAGGCCAGCCTCCAGTTCTCAGAGGAGGCCCTTTTGGACCTCCGGCCAGTATCCCCAGGACCCCTCCCCAAATCTTTCTCATTTGTCACTTGCCCTGCTGGGTGCCACCGACTAGGTGACTGTTTGTAGGTCCCCAGCCACAGCATTGCGGAGGCAGAGCCTGAGTCTCACCTTCTCTCCCTCATCTCATCCCCGCTCACAGCACTGGGCCTGGGCCACTGGAGTGTTTTTGTTCACCCTGGGGAGCATTGCGGGCTAGACGGCAAGGGGGCAGGGAGGGGGGAGGGCTTTATACCAAGGTCTGGGGGAAGAGAGCTGGGGAGGTACTGGGGGGGGGGCGGTGATGAGGGATGAGGGCAGGAACTTGGCCATGTGAGGGTCACCTCCCCACCCACCAGCCGGACACATGCTGGAGCAGCAGGAAGCTCGGTGATCACCGAATGACTGAATGAATGAAAGAAGTGACAGAGAGCCCTTGGGACCCCTCACACAGCTTCTGCCGGCATCAGGTCCCGCTGCCATCGGAGGAGGGGCTGTGAGGCTGAGGGGAGACTGCCGCTCCCTGCCTCTTTGCTGCTGGCGGTTCAGCGAGAGGACGAGAGGGGCTCCCAGCACACAGTCATTGCTCCTGAGCAGCGGCAGAACTGACAGTGACCATGCCCTCCCTGTTCATTGTCCCTTCTGGGCAGTGGGAAGCAGCCCAGAGAGACTGTGTGACTTGCCCAAGGTCACACAGCAAACAAGGGACAGTCCTCCTCTGCTCACACCAGGTTATGTCTGGGCAGGCACTACTGAGTGGGTGCCCAAACCACGGCCTCTGGACTGAGGATCTGAGGCCCCCACACCGCTGTTCTTCAACTGGCCCAGCTCGCTGGCCGGTGAATTTAGGGGATTTGAAAGGTGGAGTGTGGAATTGGCCTGTTGAGCCCTACGGTGCGCTGTCTGAGAGAAGGAAGGGC